CTAAAATAAAGTTGAAAGTACTTCTCAGTGACCGGTTTTCTAGGAGATCTCTAGAAAACCGTTGGCAACAGTGGCAACTGGCACACAGTGGCTTCCAGTGACCTTGAAAGAAGAAGATAAGTACATAATCGAGCATGCTAAATCTGATGGCAGCGTTTATTTTATCTTACTTTATGTTAGTCTGCCTCTTTCAAGGTCACTGGAAGTCACTGTGTGCCAGTCCTGGTGCTCCATGGAAATCAGATACCACTGCCAGATCACTCAAAATCAAAGTCTCGCTTGGCTCCCATTTTGAAGAGGACAGTTTAGGCTAGTCAAGATGGCGGAATCTACGCTTTTCAGGGCTTTTCGTAAAATATCAATATCTCAGCAACGATACAACTTTTTGATTTGCGCCTTTTATCAAAATTCCTTAAAATGTTTGGTCTACAAAAGCCCCCTACTTTGGAAAAGTTTCGAGAACATCGATTGAAGAACGTCGGTCGTGGCTTACGTACAATGGCTCTTAATGAAATAAGAGATATTGTGCACTCTACATGGAACTTAGCGGTAAAGTTATCAGCTTTTCTGCTGTTGTCACATTCTGCCCTAATAAACTGATGTGTCCTATTTTGCACCTGAGCATCAATATATTGTGTTTCGTCGAAAACGTTTGCTAGGATAAAAACTGTATAATTGTTGTAACTGTTCGGTTGGTTTTGGTTCCGAATAATTCACTACTTTTAACCATATGCGTAAGAATAATAAAGAGGATGACAAGTAGTAAAATACTACTAATTACGATCAATATCAAACAGCATGGCACTACGCACCTTCGGCAAGTGCGAGCGCTTTCTCCTTGCTGCTTTGGAATGAGCTTGACGCTTGGTATCATTGAAGTCGACGATACTACAACAGGTGATTGAGGGGAGATGTCCGACAGGATTTTTGGTGGTGAAGAATGATGAGGAGTTATCAGTGCAGTTAAGGCGCTAAAACATAATCAAATATTAATAGAACAATGTCCAGGATAGCCGTCAGGAGTCTGTGTTAATCGTACAAATCATTAGTTTTTTAAAGAGTTCTGGTTATTTGTAAAGGGCGGCAAAGTACGAAGAATCTCAAAGAATGGGACTGTATATGCTTATGAAATAGGCCCATTTTTGTTTAGAAGTCAGAATGATTGTGTGAGGAGTGAAAAGCGTAACCGTTACAGTGGCGGCCAAAACTCAGTGTTCACCCCTTCATGATGGCATTGATTTTGTTCACATTTCAAAACAAAAAGACTACTGATTTGCGGACTGTCCTCGGGGACTATCCTCAAAGAGCACGATTAGGAGCCATATCATGCGCTCCTCTCCACTACTTCAAGAGCGTAGAAACAAATGAAGCTCTTTTGATTCTAAAGCGAAGGATGTTTGCGTTTTGTACCATAGCAGGTTCTGCGCGATTCAATATCAATTCCGGAACTACTAAAATATCCTATATCAGATTTAATATAGACGCGACATGGAGCGATGTAACCGCTGGAAAAATACATTCATTATCCGAAGACAATATAATATCTGTCTATCAGCGTTTTTTCATAAAGTACGGCGATTGGGATTGTTTGGCAACAACCCCGACCTTAACTCACTCTGCAAAATGTGGTGAATGTGAACATTTTTTGCTGATCCAACAACTGTTCTTATACTGATTCTTAGAAGTGCAAAGTTTAATATATTAACTCATCTTACTTGGCAGTATCGTCATTTTGTCCTGATAAATCAATGCTAGCATCCTGTTAAGCAGTAAAATAGGTACTACTGTAAACATTGCCAAGAAAGGCGATTGCTCGTAACCTACTCGTAGTGTATTAGGTATGTCTTCAGCCTTCATCACAAGCAGGTTTGTTTGACGCCGAGACTCTAATGAATATTGCAGACCTCTAAACGTTGGACGATGTTCTGCACTAGAGAACATACATTTCGAAATGATTGACCACATTGCAGCATCACATGTGTCGGGTTTTGCTAATTGTTTGCCATCGATCACTTGCTGACGAACTTGGGTGTCATCTACTATGTAGGACCAGGGCTCGGCCCCTTTTGAATATACCTGCCACATGAGAACACCCATTGAATAAACATCTGACTCCTCTGAATACAAGTCCCGCGAATTACACAACTGAATCTCTGGCGCTGCATAACGAACTGACAGAGAGCGCTTAAAACCAAACTTGTTTATTTTAACAAGATTTTGTCTTGGTTCATATTCATTAAAACGATAAACAAGTATATTTCGACATGCTAAATCACCGTGTATAATACCATTTTCGATAAGAAATATCATTCCTACTGCAATTTGTCGAAATATTTCGCAGAGAACACCTTCATGTGGAAATCGAGACCTAGTGAGAATAAAATTACGTAAATCATGCTGATTTGCAGCCTGTTGAACTAACATAACAGACACTGATGAGTCGCTGCGATGTCGATCAACCAAGCCGTACATTTCAACAACGTTTGGATGAGAGTCCATGCCGCTGAAACTGAACATTGGTTTCGCACTATGGATTTCTACCAAAACAATCGGCGGTCCAATTACATCTATAAGCCATTCAGCTGCGTAGACGGTTTTCTCGGCTGTACGTTGTAGCGGTTTTTCCTGTGTTTTCTTTCTTACATCAACATCAAGTGTAAACCTGTATTTTTTATTCCTTGTAACTAATTTAAATTGTTCAATTAACTGTTGAACTACGTGATTCGGGCGCATCGCTTGGGTCGTAAATGGTTCTCGAGTGAAAGGACTTGTGTTCCCTTCATTTATCAGCGAGATAATAGCGTCTCTTTCATAAGTATGACCATCTTCAGCGACTACTGCATCACGAAAAAGTCCATGGGTTAGGGGACAAATAAGTGATTGCCCGGACAAGGTAGCTGTTTCTGGTTGCTGCAACATGAAATATTAGCTATTAAAGTTAATTTGGTCAAATTTCCAATCCGCTCTGATTTGAATACAACTAAATTATAATAAGCATGAGTTATGAATATATTGACTTTTTCTGCATTTGAGTACACCGAGTGTTATTATCTTTCTTCACTGCCATTCTATTTAGTGTCAGGAGTAGTGGAACGAGCATTTATGTTAAGATTGAACGCATTTCATAGCCCAATTATTTTTTGAGATGAAGAATAATCAGCACCATCAAAATAGCTGTTAGAGACATATAATGCTGTCCAAAACTGAGCGTCTACCCCTACATGATGACATCGATGCTACTTATCAACGGGTAAGAACTTTAAAACTATAGAGATAATACCAGCAGCTATTTTAAAAATGGCAGCTGTTATTGTCTGTATGACGACATTGATTTTTTCCTCATTTCCAAACAGAAAAGCTACTGATTTGCGGTGTTTAGTATTGTGTTAGCGTATCGTCTCTTGCTGGAAGCCGCAAATCAGTAACTTTTTTGTTTTGAAAAGTGAAAAAATCAATCTCATCCCATGTAATCGTTTGCGTTCGAAAAAACGCGTCGGAAAATTTTGAGAAAAAACATCGTTTGAACGCTGTTTTGGGCGTTTAAACGCGTTTTGTAAAAACCTACATTTGAGTCGAACGCGTTTAAACGCCCTCATGTGTGAGGAGCGTTTGAACGTTTTTTTCATGAATTCTTGTTCAGTGTTTGATTATTAAAGGCGTTTAGATGCCGAAGATGTTTAATACTCGGAACGAGTTTTAAGGCGTTCCGATTTGATTAGATGTTTGAACGCTGTTCTGAAACAAGTTACAACGGCGTTTGAGAGCGTTCCTTTTATTAAACGCCTCTGCACGCTGTAGATATTTGATACTCTGAACGTATTCGAGAGTCCTAATTTGAACAGACGCCTGAACTCAGTTTTGAAAAAGGTTCAGACATCGTTCAAAACCGTTTATATTATTGAACGGGTGGCATTTTTATTTTACTGCTAACTCTCTCTAAATAAATGAATACCCTACTTTTGAGACATACAAAAGCACAAGTATTCAACTAAATGTTAAAAAAGTCTCATTTAAAATTTGGATATAACTTAATTCATGTGTTCATCTATTTATGAAGAGTTAACATTAAAATAAAATGCTACTGTACGACTAATTTCTTGATCTGGAAAGAGTTATTTTAGGAATATAAAGGGCTCGCTAAAAAAAGCTGGCGACATTTTTCAGTAGGTAACTGCTTTTTCTGTTCATGCACATCATAATCGCAGTACTGGAGAAAAGAAAAGCCCCTAGTGAATGTATATGAATTCGTATAAGAAATAAAAGAAAATGACGTACTTCTTTTGTTATAGTCGTCAGAGAACTCTTCTTTCTTTGGTTTCTAAACCCTTTCGGCCCATAATACACAATATGACAGAAAGATATATCAATCTTTGTCGAGCACCAATAGCTCAATGGTACGTGTATCGCTCTCTATTCTTTAGGTCTCAAGTTTGAATCCGCCAGTCACCGTCATTTCGTAAGTAATAATTGTTCTGCTACTTCTAGGGAGAAGGATAGAGATATCTTGAAGGAAACGAGCTATATAGACCGTCAACCGACGTTTGAGCGCCCGACATTTGAGCGCCGACATTTGAGCACCCGACATTTGAGCGCCCGACATTTGAGCGCCCGACATTTGAGCGACCCCGACATTTGAGCGTCCGA